CAAAGGCATGGATGCCGGATGCCTTTGAAAATGACCCGCAATTTCATGGTCGGATGAGACATTAGTACATCCCAGCCCAGAAAAGTAGGACGCGGCCCGTATCGTTTCTCTTTGGAAGGTTGGCCCGTCGGGAAAGCCTTCAGAAATTCCCGTCCCTTTCTTTGGGGTGGCCGCAGCAGCATCAGTCGAGTTTTGTGGGGCACCATGGAGATTTCCACCGTGACATCTATTGTCATTGAATGTGTCCATACCATTATCCCGATGCTGTTGATGGGGAGTTGGGTCCTGATCATCTGATTCGTCTGACGAATCGTCTTCTAGTTCTGGGGGATCAGGAATGAAAAGGTCACGGAATGTTTGGCCAGGTTGCACGAGTTCTGAAATTGTCTGACTGTGGATCGTGCTCTGGAACTCCTCGTTGAAATATGTGAACCGATATGGAGCATCTTCCTCTTCACGTACCCATCTCGCATTATGCGGCCGCAACCTTCCTCCGATAAGCACTGGTTCGTATATCTTCTTCGCCCGTACCCCCCCGCTGCGTTCTTCCTTCTCTTCGCGGCTCCATTCTCTCAATACCGAAAGATCTGGCCAGATCCGTCTCCGCCTCCGTCTGCGCCCACCTCCAAAGGTGTCTTCTAGCGGGGGACGAGGAGGGTACTCTTCTTCACCCAAATCCGACAATGCGCCTGGAAAGCAAACGTCTTCTTCAACAGGAAGAGTAACTGTCCGTCGTCGCTGGAGCTCTGGAGAGACGAATTTTTGGGAAGTAGTTGACGAGTTACTCATAGAGCCATGCCCTTCTCCGTCAACATCTATAACATGGCAAGGCACACTGACTGCGCTAGTGTGTTCCGGAGACGTGTGGTCGAAGTCATGGCCACCAATCATCGGGTCATCGAAGCCAGTCTCTGGGCCCGTGTGAGGGCTTCCGGGGACTGAAGGCGGATTGTTAACATCGTATTCTCGTCTTAAGCTACGGGCAGTGCCGATAGAGTACGGAACGGTTGAGCGGAAAGACGATGCTACCGACTTCCGGCCTTCGGGCGAGGGAGCAACTGAATGTTCTTCTGTGCCTGCACTTGTCCCGTACCGCACAAAACTGGAGTTATGGACAGAGCTGGGCTTTATCAACGGTGTTCGATCGTCTTCTTCCTCGGATTCCTCCTCATCCATCACCTGGGACGGGGCAGTCGGAGTTTGGGCTCGAACCGGGGGCCGAGAGGAAAGTTGTTGTGGTTCCGGACGATAGCTCTGTGCAAGCCGGCTCTCCCGACGCGGGCGCATCATTGGCTGGTGTCTGTAGGTCAGTTCCCAACGTCATGGTTAGTTTCTTGTTTTCTCTTCTCATGTCGTTATGCCTCTGTAGAAGAGAGATGCGCAAATCGTAGAAGTGTAGAAGAACGAAAGAAGCCCCCTTCCGTACCTGTGATCCAACAAAGCATCGCTATCCAGACTTGTCTCACTCGGGTTGTTACGGCCCAATTGGCCAAGACGGTAAACAGAAGCACGGTGCTGAATCGCAGTTGTACTGGTGGATTGAGATCCATCTCCTCGCCCAGGGGAGACACCAGCTCGCCCAGTATCGGAGTCTGGCCTAGGCGTGTCGGGCGGCGGGGCGAAGGACTGTCGACGGTGTCTGCGTCTTCTGTGCCCATGATGCTTCCGTTTCTTGGGAGCAGTGCCGTCAGCGAGTGGCTCCAGGCCAGGCTGTGTTTGCGGCTGGGTGGTTCCACTCGCGTTACTAGGACGTGAGTTGGCAGGAGATCTATCTGCGAGTTGGCGTTCGGCCGACTGCTGTTCAGGGCTCTGCTGGTTGCCGGGATCCATGACAGCGAGATAATCAACGCCAAGGAACGAAAGAGAGGATCAAAGGTCTTGAGTTCATGGGGGAAACATGAATGCAGGATGAGAATCGGACAGGGCAGTGGTAACTGGCAGCATCGGTAATGCGAGGCGTGTTGTTTTGCTGATGGTGAAATGATTGTCGCGATTAAGCTCTCGGTAGTGGAGAACGAAAACTGGATGAGACGCCGAGTTGGCGCTAACGTTGATGGTTTGCTTGTCTTTTTCTACGAACATGATAGAGACAAGAGGACAAATAACCCATGCCAATGAAATTACCATTATCTGATCATTTTGTAACACCGTCTCTAAAACTATACGTACATGGAACTATATGCTAAAAAATACTCTGCGTATCGTCATTTCTCGTCATAAATCGTCGTTGCCCTTCCTATGCATGGAGGCCAAACTGGGGAATCAATAAACATAAGAGTATATGGGTATATAACATACGGAATGGAATGCCGCCGATAATCATATGGTACATCGACAAGATATAACATAAAAAACATAAAAAGACATGAGATGAAAAATTAGCCGGTCTGCAGACAGGGCATCGGGGAATATCATATAGAGGATAGTATAAGATGCAAGAGGTAAATAAAATGAAAAATATGTTAATTCGAAGCCGAAATTCCGAAGGCCATTCTCCCTGATTTCCACATTCGCATGTAACAGCGGGCACCATATCGAGTGTGACGCCTCATATTACGTTGCCCCGGATCCATGTTGATAGACGGAAAGCTTTGCATCG